GTTGAACTTATATTATATTTTTGAACTTTAGTAAATGCTACAAAAGGCTCAACAAATTTAAAATTTTATTTGCAAAATTAATAATGATTAACCATAAATTTGACAATGATTTCAAACCTATTAAACATCCAAAAAATATTAAAATAGTAAATACATTTCAATTTAGAATGCAAGAAAAATATATTAAGATCTTCAAAAAATTAAGAATTTTTTTCTTCTGTAAATTATATGTAAAAATGAAAAACAGAAAACAGATCTGTTTTTGAGACCTGTTTTCTGTTAACACATTTTTGTCGAAAAACAGCTGTTTTTCTGTTTTCTGTTAACAGGTTCCCCAAACCCTAGTTCAAACTCAACTCATATCATATTATCGATTACATCTCAGTATAACATTTGATTTAAAACCCACGAGGTTAATATCAATTTATACTCATTTCTGTTCCGACCTATATTATGATTTAAATAAAGGATTATTATTACTATTCTTTTCTTGCTGACCCCCCCTTCCGACCTCTTAGTAAAATAAATCAATTCAGCTTTTGATGCTACAATGGTTTTGAACACAAATAATAAAAATAAAAAAAAAAGGAATTTTAAATATCTTATCATAAGTCAATGACTCTCTTAGTATTAACATTCAAAAGTTTTTTTATATTCACACCGTTTTCACGTGTGAATCTATTGGTTTTGTTCAGATAGAAAAATCAGTTTTTTGAATTTTGTGAGGATATGGAGTAAGATAGTTTAAAATGTTTAGACATGAAAAGTTTGTGCCTGAAATTTTACATCATTTTCAAAAAACAGATTTCAAATTGGTTATGGCATTGCTGACAAAATCGCAAAATACGCTTTCTGTAAGCAAACAAGCAAGCAAGTTAATCAGCAAGAAATCTCAGTAACGAGACATTGTAGAGACTTCTAGTTTTTTACATTTGATCCGTGCTGCTCTATAGAAGAGCTGTATTGTTTTTAGGCAAGGTAGGAACAGCCGTTGCTTCAGAAAAAGCAAAAAACTTTCCTTTCTTACGAATTTTTCAAATTAAAAGTTCACTGTGATTTTTTTTTAAATTAAACTTTGGATGAAAAAAATTTTTTTGAGCAAAGAACCAAGTAGGAAATACATTTTCAATTTTGGAATAGGGACGACCCTAGTCAAAATCAATTTTGTCACTTTTTTCTTCGAGGGTTTATCCAAATGGATTGAAACTTTGCATAAATATTCTAGTGCTTAAAACAAATACAAATAAAACATTCTAAAATGTTTTTGAGCAAAGAACCAAGTAGGAAATACATTTTCAATTTTGACTAGGGACGACCCTAGTCAAAATAAATTTTGTCACTTTTTTCTTCGAGGGTTTATCCAAATGGATTGAAACTTTGCACAAATATTCTAGTGCTCAAAACAAATGCAAATATAACATCTTAAATTTTTTTGAGCAAAGAACCAAGTAGGAAATACATTTTCAATTTTGGACTAGCGACGACCCTAGTCAAAATCAATTTTGTCACTTTTTTCTTCGAAGGTTTATCCAAATGGATTGAAACTTTGCATAAATAGTCTACTGCTTAAAACGAATACAAATAAAACATCCTAAAATTTTTTTGAGCAAAGAACCAAGTAGGAAATACAATTTCAATTTTGGACAAGGGGCAAAAAAAAAGTGAAAAACTAGATTTTGACTGGACCTGTCCCAAGTTCATAATTGAAAATGTATTTCCTACTTGGTTTTTTGCTTAAAAAATTTTTGAATGTTTTATTTGTATTTGTTTTAAGCACTAGAATATTTATGCAAAGTTTCAATCCATTTGGATAAACCCTCGAAGAAAAAGTGACAAAATTGATTTTGACTAGGGTCGCCCCTAGTCCAAAATTGAAAATGTATTTCCTACTTGGTTTTTTGCTTAAAAAATTTTTGAATGTTTTATTTGTATTTGTTTTAAGCACTAGAATATTTATGCAAAGTTTCAATCCATTTGGATAAACCCTCGAAGAAAAAGTGACAAAATTGATTTTGACTAGGGTCGCCCCTAGTCCAGAATTGAAAATGTATTTCCTACTTGGTTTTTTGCTTAAAAAATTTTTGAATGTTTTATTTGTATTTGTTTTAAGCACTAGAATATTTATGTAAAGTTTTAATCCATTTGGATAAACCCTCGAAGAAAAAAGTGACAAAATTGATTTTGACTAGGGTCGCCCCTAGTCCAAAATTGAAAATGTATTTCCTTCTTGGTTCTTTGCTCAAAAAAAATTTAGGATGTTTTTTTTGCATTTGTTTTAAGCACTAGCATATTTATGCAAAGTTTCAATCCATTTGGATAAACCGTCGAAGAAAAAAGTGACAAAATTTATTTTGACTAGGGTCGCCCCTAGTCCAAAATTGAAAATGTATTTCCTACTTGGTTTTTTGCTTAAAAAATTTTTGAATGTTTTATTTGTATTTGTTTTAAGCACTAGAATATTTATGTAAAGTTTTAATCCATTTGGATAAACCCTCGAAGAAAAAAGTGAGAAAATTGATTTTGATTAGGGTCGCCCCTAGTCCAAAATTGAAAATGTATTTCCTACTTGGTTCTTTGCTCAAAAAAATGTTAAGATGTCTTATTTGTATTTGTTTTAAGCATTAGAATATTTATGCAAAGTTTCAATCCATTTGGATAAACCCTCGAAGAAAAAAGTGACAAAATTGATTTTGGATGGGGTCGCCCCTAGTCCAAAATTGAAAATGTATTTCCTACTTGGTTCTTTGCTCAAAAAAATTTTAAGATGTTTTATTTGTATTTGTTTAAAGCACTAGAATATTTATGCAAAGTTTCAATCCATTTGGATAAACCCTCGAAGAAAAAAGTGAGAAAATTGATTTTGACTAGGGTCGCCCCTAGTCCAAAATTGAAAATGTATTTCCTACTTGGTTCTTTGCTCAAAAAAATTTTAGGATGTTTTATTTGTATTTGTTTTAAGCACTAGAATATTTGTGCAAAGTTTCAATCCATTTGGATAAACCCTCGAAGAAAAAAGTGAGAAAATTGATTTTGACTAGGGTCGCCCCTAGTCCAAAATTGAAAATGTATTTCCTACTTGGTTTTTTGCTCAAAAAAAATTTAGGATGTTTTATTTGCATTTGTTTTAAGCACTAGAATATTAATGCAAAGTTTCAATCCATTTGGATAAACCCTCGAAGAAAAAAGTGAGAAAATTTGCGACTAGGGTCGTCCCTAGTCCAAAATTGAAAATGTGTTTCCTACTTGGTTCTTTGCTCAAAAAAATTTTAGAATGTTTTATTTGTATTTGTTTTAAGCATTAAAATATTTATGCAAAGTTTCAATCCATTTGGATAAACCCTCGAAGAAAAAAGTGACAAAATTGATTTTGACTAGGGTCGCCCCTAGTCCAAAATTGAAATTGCATTTCATACTTGGTTCTTTGCTCAAAAAAATTTTAAGATGTTTTATTTGTATTTGTTTTAAGCACTAGAATTTTTATGCAAAGTTTCAATCCATTTGGATAAACCCTCGAAGAAAAAAGTAACAAAATTGATTTTTACTAGGGTCGCCCCTAGTCCAAAATTGAAAATGTATTTCCTACTTGGTTCTTTGCTCAAAAAAATTTTAGGATGTTTTATTTGTATTTGTTTTAAGCATTAGAATATTTATGCAAAGTTTTAATCCATTTGGATAAACCCTCCAAGAAAAAAGTGAGAAAATTGATTTTGACTAGGGTCGCCCCTAGTCCAAAATTGAAAATGTATTTCCTACTTGGTTTTTTGCTCAAAAAAAATTTAGGATGTTTTATTTGCATTTGTTTTAAGCACTAGAATATTAATGCAAAGTTTCAATCCATTTGGATAAACCCTCGAAGAAAAAAGTGAGAAAATTTGCGACTAGGGTCGTCCCTAGTCCAAAATTGAAAATGTGTTTCCTACTTGGTTCTTTGCTCAAAAAAATTTTAGAATGTTTTATTTGTATTTGTTTTAAGCATTAAAATATTTATGCAAAGTTTCAATCCATTTGGATAAACCCTCGAAGAAAAAAGTGACAAAATTGATTTTGACTAGGGTCGCCCCTAGTCCAAAATTGAAATTGCATTTCATACTTGGTTCTTTGCTCAAAAAAATTTTAAGATGTTTTATTTGTATTTGTTTTAAGCACTAGAATTTTTATGCAAAGTTTCAATCCATTTGGATAAACCCTCGAAGAAAAAAGTAACAAAATTGATTTTTACTAGGGTCGCCCCTAGTCCAAAATTGAAAATGTATTTCCTACTTGGTTCTTTGCTCAAAAAAATTTTAGGATGTTTTATTTGTATTTGTTTTAAGCATTAGAATATTTATGCAAAGTTTTAATCCATTTGGATAAACCCTCCAAGAAAAAAGTGACAAAATTGAATTTGACTAGGGTCGCCCCAAGTCCAAAATTGAAAATTGATTTTCTATGGTGTACTTTGGTCAAAAAAATTTTTTGTATGTTTTATATGAAATGACATATTTCTGACATAAATCGCACACCAATATTACTTTTTGTAATGCATAGCTTAAAAAAAACCGAAATCTAAAATTTCGACTACCCCATCTGATTTTTGTTCATACTCTTCACTGTGGAAACCAAAAAACAAATTCTTTATCTTAAAACACTTGACAAAATAGCGACATAATTCAGGATTAATTACTTTTTATTAATATTTTAACATTAACGAGAAAATGTGGTTCAAATAAGTGTGAGCTATACTTGGTCATAGTGTTCCCAAGGGTGACGAAATTCAAACTAAGTGTTTTTGTAGCTGACATAATTATGACAAAAATTAGGTATAACTTTTGAACTGTGTCGATATGAGTCTCGGCCGTACTTCACGCCCACTCTTCAAATTTATGCTGAGCAAATCTTGGTCTATCCATAAGACTTTTGATGGTACGGTGTGAATATATCCGCATTGGGTTTCTACCCGATACACTAGGTTTTTTTATTAAAAAGCTTTTCTGATAAAGCCTTCTTAAAAATGCAAATACCGAAAATTTCTTTTGTGATATAGTTTTTGGGAGATTGATCAATAATTTTAGTTCCAACTGTTGCATGAAACTGTAATGAAAATTGAGAATTTTTTTAAAATCACATTAAACTTTAATATTTTTATCTACCTCGCTTAAGAATATACATTTAATGACATCATCTCTCCCATCCATTTTCAATTAAAATAGCTTTAAATTCTTATATTAAAAACTTCAAATTTTTAAAGTTCACTTTGTACTTATCAATTTGTTATCAAGGAGAAATGGAAAACATAAGAATGTAAAATAACAAAAAGCAGTATTCACTGGATTATTGCAAACGTTTATTTTTTTCATTGGATATTTCAAACGAATTAGGCTGCTGTTTACTCAAATCATTAATTTCCATAAACTTTCTATGTTGCTAATGCCTAATTCTAAGTTAATTTCACTCTTTTATCTATCATTAATAAAATGAGTATAAAACATCATTTACAATGGAATTGATAATTTATGAACTAAGTTGAAGAAAACTGACCTTAACTATTAACTTACATACAGTTGAAACAAATTGCATTCTAAAATTATTAAGAATTTGAATAAAATAAAATCTAATCGATATTGTATTTTATCAAATAGTTTTCATTAAAACCCCTTAAATTTTGCTACTTCTAAATTGGTTGATATGTCATGTATTTTTTTTTTGAAGCTAGATTATTCATTATTTAGTTCTTTGTTTTTTCTTCTATTCTTACGAAAGTAAGAAATTTTTGAAAACAGTAAAAAAATGAAACTTATTGTGATTTTAATTGTTATTTTGATTTATTTTGGAGAAGCAAATGCTGGTGGTAATGTTTAAAAAATTAATTCTTTTGATACCTAAATGCGATAAAATTACAAAAAAAAAGTCTGATTTTAGTTTTATAATAAAAATTTGATAAAACTTTAATTTACATTTATTTTTTATATAGATATCGAATGGATCCTTAATGACAAAGAATCATCTCCATGTCTGCTTGCTGATATGAATATTAAAGTCAATTTTTCATACAACGCTTCATCAGGTAATGAAGTTAAATTAAAATGAATGAGTCATCCATTAAATTATAATATATATTGCGTTTCAGATTTCAATAGACAGAAAAGTCTTTATGAAATTCCAAATAATCTTACTAAAGTTGATTTAGTCAGAAGCTATTGTAATGATACGGAAAGCTTTTTGGCTGTTAATTGGGAGCATGGAAATATTTTTGAAATAACGTTCATCAAGTACAACAAGTCATATGAACTTTCAAAATTTCATGTATCTCTTAATGCAACCGATATACTAAAAGACATATCCGGTAAGATTATTTATTAAAAAAAAGAAGTATGAATAAATTTTAAATGATTTCATTTTATAGACAATAAAACTATCGAGATTATGTATGAACGTTTGGTCAATGATTCATCGTTTGATACACCGGCAAATTTTTCATTTCATTGCAATAGAGAACAAATACTTAATTCTACTAATAATGATGGTTCTTCTATTATTCTGTCGAAAGTACAGTTTGAGGCATTCAGAAGAAATAATAATAAAGACAAGAAATTCTCGTTAGCAAAAGACTGTGAAAGTAATTTTAAGCCTGATATAGTACCGATAGCTGTCGGGTTATCGTTGATTGCATTAATAATAATTGTATTAATTGCATATATTGTTGGAAGAAGGAGACAACAGGCTCGAGGCTATTTAAATATAATGTAATTTATGTATTCGAAAAAAGGTGTATGTATGAAAATTAAGGAAATGTTTGCGAATAAAAAAGAAATGATTAATGCATTTAAAAGTATTTATTGTTGAATTTATGTATGATTCAAAAGGTGTATAAAAATAATTTATGGAATATTTGCCAAATAATCTTTAATTGTAGTTGGATCTAAACGATGGAAACCATTGGAGTCACAAATTCCAACTTCTATGTTTGACTCATTCATTTGGCCTTCAAAGCCCTCTTTCAAAGTCAAAATAGCAATATGAACGGCATCATCCAGTTCCAGATCCTCTGTATAACGCTTTTCAAGGAAGGTTTTTCCATTAATAGAATTCTTTCCCATAGCAGTGGCTTTCCAAGCAAAATAAGCACCAGAAGGATCACATTGGAACAATAAAGGAATCATTTCATCATTATTTATATGCGATGGTTCCATACCACAAATCAAAAGTGATACTCCAAATGGCCGAACACCACCTGATTGAGTGTATTCTTGCATAACGCCTGCAATTCGTTGTACTAATTGAGACGTTGGAATACTTTCATTATAAATCATGTAATAGTTCTGAGCTATTTTACGAGCTTGTCGAACAAGAAGTCGATAATCAGGACCCATTCCGCTATAAACGATTCCAATGTTATCAGTAATATTCTCAATTTTATGGACTGAGTTTTCATCATACAGCAAGGATTTTTGCTTATTTTCGGTAGCAATTACAATTCCATTAGATGCTGTTGAAAAGAAAATTAATTTAACTTTATCATGAAATAAAAGATGAACATACCTTTAATTCCAACCGTACTGGCACCGGCAGAAACTGCATTTAAAGCATATTCGATTTGGACAAGCTTTCCAGAAGGACTGAAGAATTAATTTTTTTAATATTAGGTTAAGATGATTTTGCATTTTTTTTTTAAATTTCAATTATATTTCAAATAAAATACATTACCTAAATGTTGTCAATGAGAAGGAGTATCTCTCGGATGCCATTGAATATAATTAAATGTTTAAACTCTGATAGCAGACGTAGTTAATTTACTAGAAAAAAAAGATTTCTGTTTTTCTACTATTGTTGTATATGTTTATATTCTGCAAGCTAGAACCTTACAAATTCATGTGTGGTGAAAATGGTGAAAATGAATTTTTTTAAATTTAAAATTTCTGCAGTTAAACATTTTCTGTTACAATGATATCATAATATTTTTATTGCTCTTAAATGTCAACTAAGTTATTATGTATAAAAATGTGTATACATTGTTTAAACTCTTACCATTGTATTAGACATGAAATATGAGTGGATGTAAGTATGCGCATATTATATAAAAAAATATGCCGGGTAAATAACTTGATATATATGCAAAGATCTTTTTCAGATCAAGCAATTCAACATAATTTTTTAACTTTGGTATATCAACCTTAGCTTGCGTATTTATTAAGCATGTGTTATCGAAATTGATTTTTAGAAGAAAAAAATGGAAAAAAGCCTTACGAAGCATTTTTTGTGAAGCCGTGTGAATCCAATTATTTTGGGGGTGAATTTCTTAAGTTCAGAGGTGGGGCTGTAAGAGTCTTTCAGTTATATTCAAAATAGTAATAAAACTTAAACCCTGTAAAAACATTTTAATTGATTTAAGCACATTCGTTATTAAAAATGTCAATGGAATAAAGATGATAAATACATTGTCGAGAAATTATTATTAAAAAAAAAAAATCATCACACTCTATAAACCTTGACTCGGTTTCTGTGGCTGTTGTTTTTTTTTTTTCGTTTGTGTTAATACAATAATTTCAAAGTAAAGTACCATCTCATAACGTTATATGCATATTTAATTAATTTTCTTGTCACATGAATTTAACCATTATGGCTTTACGATGACAATAATTACTGCTCATTAAATTCATAATTTAATATAGGATGCTAATAAAACCGATGCCATTTTAATATTTTCAATAAAACAATTATAACTTTGCTAAATATCTCAATTTTTAAATTTGATTCATTCAAATGAATATAACGAAACATTGACCTCTATGAATATGTAATTAAACTCTTAATCCTTAACATGAGTTTCTTTTTTTATATTAGATCCTGTTAAATTTTCATATTTTTATGAAATGGTTTTTAAAAAACCAAAAAAAAAATTAACATTTGATTAAATAATGAAAATTCTGTTGAAAATGAGCTTAACATTATTGATGAATATATATTTCAACGAGTTTGCAAAAAAAAAAATCATCCATATCACAAGCACACACACTTGACTGTATACAAGGTTTTACAAACGTTTGCAAGTCTGTCTCTCTAATGATATATCCTTTTTTAAAGTACATTTCATAAGTACATAAATTTTCCCCACTTCCACTTCCAGAAATATCTTCTTCGCGTTGATGTATATAGCTGCACAAACTAGCAAAAATAAAACAAGAATTCGAAGTTTGCTGTTGTTGTAGTGATGCCTACCTATAAAATCAATGCCAATCGTTGAAATTACTTTTGTTTTCGTTAATCTTTTGAGTGGTATAGACATCATTTATAATTCATAAAAACTTTTTTTATTATAACGTGACAGTGATTTTTATTTCTGAAATATATAAAAAAACATATTAAGGTAAGAAAGGATATTCATTTGTGATCAGAATGTGAGAAATCATATCAGTGTAATTAAAATTACTAGTTATTTTATTTTTAAAAATAAAATGATAAACGTGATAAATTGTAGTGTTAAAAGTTCACAATTTTAATAATGAAGAACATTCATGTAAAGCTAAAGTGTTTTTATTCAAATATTTTTAAAGTACTTGAAAACACGTCGAGTAAGTCATTTCAATAAAAAGTCAATTTTGCATGAGCTTTGAGAGTAATATTTGGATAAGAAAACTCTTCTTTTTGTCTTGTCATTTTGTTTTATTAGACAAGTATTATATAATAAAATAAAATTAAAAATACGGTCCATTGTATAATTCAAATAAGACTAGAATCATCTTTATGTAATTTAAACAGCATTTTGCAATATCCGGTAATATTTGTAAGCTATTGTGTAATTGCATCTATGCAATTGTATACTGTGTCAGAAAAGATGTTTAAAGAACGTGAGAACGAATTGTATTTTATAAACAACTGAATGAATCAAGCTTGAGATTATACAATCAAATTTCTTTCGCACCAAGTCTTATTGGATTTAATTTTTGTAGATGAAATTTTCACTGATTACTCTGACTATATGCTGCTGTATTGCAATATGCTTTGCAGCAATAAGCGAAGTAAAAAATGGTGGAAGTAAGACTGGAGATCCAAAAGGACGATTCTTAACACTCCCAGTGCCCTCAAAATGCTCAAATCGTAAGTTTTATTTAATTCTTAATTTTTTAACTTATCAAAAACATTATAAGGAATTCAATCACTGGATTCATTCATTTGACATTTAAAAGGAAATTTTATGACTGATCGTCTAGCTATTAAACAATTATTTGTCACATTGAATTTTTTTTTGTTTCATCCACGTTTTACATTTCTGTGGAAGGCATACATATGATTCGAAAAAAAGAGATGCTGTAAAGTGTTTCATCTCAGGCAAGCGGGCAACGAAAACCAGTTTTAACACTTGACAAGAAGAAAATATCTCAATATTAATAAAATTAATGATGCAAAACATGTTTTCGTGAATTTTTTGTATATATAACACTATGTATGTCATCATTAACTACATGAATTATACTAATTCCATCTTGACACTTTACTATTAATCATAAAAGGTTTAAGCACTCGCTTATTTTTTAAAATACTTTTTACATACCATATTTATAATAATTAACATTAGAATTCAAACTGATTTTTTTTTTGTGAACGTTTACCACTCGCTTAACTTCATCTTCATGCTGACTCTTTCCCTTTCTATTTAAAGTTTAATAAGTTTTTTTTTAAATTATAATAAATTCATATCATTTTTTGCTTAGATTTTAATATTTTTCATACCATGTTGAGATCATAAACGTGACATGTGGATATTAAAAATATAAATAATTAACCGGTAAAAAGTGCTACCCTCATCTCATTTTCTTTTGAAATAGTTCCTAAAATAAGTATGTTTATAAAATTTGACAGACCTTCACAAGCATCTCCAAACTCTTAAAAAGTGCTTTAAATGCCGGCTTTATATACTTTTTTTATTAACATTTACCAGATTTTCCTTTCGTTTTAAAACTACAACAACAATACAGAGAGACTGTAAAAAAAACGACTTAAAAAGTCGGTCAACACTGTTGATGTTCAAGATTATGCAATCGATTGAATATTATCTTTCGCACTGTTATTTTTTAAAAGATGTTTTTCTGTCTCTCTCAATTGACTTAAGAATCCATTAATAATAAACCTGAATTTCATTATATGAATAACATTCACTTAATTTTATGTTAATTATACAGGTCCTAAAAAATTCAACTACAAAGGCCACAATTACTTCTACAGTGGACAAATTCCAGAACTCGCAAATAAGCGTGTTGATTGGTTAGAGGCACGTAACATTTGTCGTGAATATTGTATGGATGCTGTATCTATTGAAACACAAGAAGAAAACAATCTAGTTTATAAATTAATTCAAGAAAATGATGTACCATACATTTGGACATCTGGACGATTGTGTGATTTCAGCGGTAATTACTTTTAACTTTAAAAATTTAATTAAAAATCTAAATTCGATTATGTCAAAAGGCTGCGAGGGACGCAAAGATTTGTTGCCAAAGAATCTTAATGGATGGTTCTGGTCAGCAAATCGTGAGAAAATTCAACCAACAAATCGAATTCCTGTTGGCTGGGTAAATTAGAATAAAAAATAAATTTGAAATATGAAAATAAAATATCATTTTTTTAACAGGGATATAATCCTTGGTCGAGCACTGGACACAAAAAGGTTTGTTAAATGCCACATTTCCTCAAAAAAATGAAAAATACTGTTTTTTTTATTTTAAGTTGGGAAATATGTTAGATATTGGAATTATTAAGCTGATGTTATATTTGTTTGATTCCCAAGGCTATCTAAACTAGTTATTCATTCATTGTTTATTTAAATCTTCTTGATATTTCTCTGCAGGTTCCGCAACCAGATAATGCAGAATTTGATATTAATCAAACATCAGAATCATGCTTGTCTGTCCTCAATAACGTTTATAGTGATGGAATTGCATGGGTAAGAAAAACATACATTTAAAGAAATAAAAAAACCGTTAATATTAATCATTTTTATTTATTTTTCAACATTTTAGCACGATGTTGGTAAGTATTTTAAGATTTCACAACAAAAATTATTTAGATTTAATATTTCATACACGATCTCCACAGCATGTTATCATGAAAAGCCTTTTATTTGCGAGGTAAAATGATTATTCAATATTATTTATATGCTTTAGATAATTATCATTTTTATTTAAAAACAGGATAATGATGAACTTTTGAATTATGTTGCCGCTACAAACCCTGGCTTACGTCTTTGAGAGTTTTAGGTTTTAAAAAAAATAAATAAAAATTCCATCACATGCATCTTTATAAAAGGGCAGAAACTCATTTTTACAGTAAAAAGTACCATTTTTTATTTATGCTATCTGTTTTCGCTTCATATTTAAGTTGTGTCTGATACAAAAGTTTTTCATATTATTACTATTTTTGACACAAAATAAAGAGAAAGAAATATGGAAACTAATACAAAGAAATTTAAATACTAAAGACGTTTAATAATTACTTATATTTTTTTTATTACTTTCAGAAAGGGTATTAAAAAAAAGATGATTAGAATAAATAATGACAATAGCAGACAAAAGTTAAATAATAGATACAAATTCAAAAGATTTCAGTTTTTTTGTAATCTTAAGAGCTTATATTTTTTTTTGGTTTCATTTTAATGGCATTGATGAAAATTGACAAACACATTTTTATTTATAATTCATCATGAAATTCTTCAATGTTTTGAATAAAATCACCGTAATCCGTTGCTTCACTTCCGACAAATATATCATATTTGTCAATAATTTCTTTGTAAGATAATCTGTCATCATGATCATCATCAGCGGATGCAAAAAGATGTGATGTTTCTTCAGTTGCTACCTTTAAAAGTAAGTGGTAATAAAAATGATACAAATGTATTATAATATTAGTAATTAAAAATATCTCGAACAGTGAAAACTACCTCATCGTTACTAGGAACAATCCAAGACAATATTTCGTTATGATTTAGAAAACCGTCATTATCTTTATCAAAATCATTATCAAATCGTTCTTTTTCTGAAAGTAGCCAGTCCTTGTCATGGTTTTTAGCATTATCACCGACAAATTCTTGAAAATTAATAAGTCCATCTTTGTTTAAATCTTTATCGCGAAGAGTTTGCTTCAGGATAATAGGCAGCATGTTATTTGATTCTTCTGGACTGTGGAATGATATATGCTCATTAATTGACAGAAATCCGTCTTTATTTAAATCAGCAGCATTAAACATTTCTCGATCGTCTTCTAGTAATTTTTTTTCTTCATCATCATCTATGGTATTGTGCTTAACTCCATCGTCTCCATAAATTCCATAAACGTCATTGACATATTCTATCCAAGAAACTTTTTCATCATTATTTTCGTCTAGATCCTCGAATCTATCTTCAGCCTCTTCTTCGGACAACTTCTTGAATGATCTTAATATCCATGCTACAAATAATAATAATAATAATTTAAAAAAAAAATATTATTTTTACGTATGTAATAACTCGTTACCCTTTAATTCGTGCCGATCAATGAATTCATCGTTATTTAAATCCATTTTTTTAACTAGAATTGCTAAACGCCTCTTGGATTCTTCTATAGGTAAATCGTGAAATTCTTCAGCTTCCTTCACGCTGCCAATGATAGCTTCATGATCAAATTCACTATGATGATGGTCTAAAATATTCAAACACTTATTAATATGTCTTTATAAATAATTTATAACCAGAAATGCAAACCTTCATTATCATAATGCATATGATCTCGCGGACTAAATGCTCCGTCTTCAAGTCTTTCTTTTCCAAAAGAATGTTTATGAGTAGAAACTTCTGTCAGATTTATAAAACATATTGCAAATACCCCTAAAAATATTTGAAGTAAACGAGCGTTCCTCATAGCTGCTAATAGGGAGTCTTTACTTTTTTGACTACTAATGTTAAGAATTTTAAATAAAACAAAATATTTTTTCAGATCTATTTTATTCACAAATATCTTGTGCCTACCAACTTTTGTAGAATGTCTCATATTTGTAGACTTTTAATGCAGGCAAAATAAGAAGATTATTGATCTAGGTTTGTAGGTATCATAAATTATGTTTTCATATTTATTTAAAAGATTTTTTGTTTTAACAAATGTATGAATCATGCTTAAAAAAATAAAATAAAATAGATTCGTTCATCGAAATACTGAAGGGAAAATGTAAACATCTCATATATTTCATAAAGGCAATTACTTTTATCAATTATTGGTATATATATGATCATGAATGAGTAAAGTGCTAACAAACATTTAGGGGCCATTCACTTATTACGTAACGCTTTTAGGGGGAGGGGGGGTCTAAGATTTTGTTACGATTCAAACAAGGAAATTTTTTTTCATACAAATTAATTCACACGAGGGGGGGGGGGTCTAAGAATTCTTTTTTCGCGTTACGTAATAAGTGAACAGCCCCTTAGGTATCTTTAATAAAAATTCAATTAGATGGATGCTTTATACTTCACGTTGCAATGTAAAAATTGTTTCAGTTTCTCCGCAGCTAGATACGACACGATAACCTAATTGCGCTAAACTGTTAATCACTTGACACACTGTGTTTTTATACATCACACCGTTTTCGACTTGTTTGCATGGTGAATTAAATCTTTTTGCAAGTGCCTGAATTTCTTGAGCTTCTAAGCCAAAAACATGCGTATCACTAAAATCAACGAAACATAACATTTAAGAAAGTGAAATTAAAAATAAGAAAAAAAAATTTAAATTTTACCTTGCATAAAGTGATCCTTTGACAAAAATGTAACAATAAATTTCATCGGAATGAGTTAATACGGGTAAAGGAACAACGACTTTACTGCCAGCATGTGCCTCATTTTGTGTAGTAGCAGATGGGGGAGATGTTTGTTGATTTGGTGAAGCTGACATTTTAATGATAATTATATAGCTTTATTGTTTTATAGATAATTTGTGTAGCAGTATCTTTAAATTATCTTTTAAAATAATTTTTCTATTATTTCGACTCAAGATTAATAAACTACTTTATTCTGGAACGTCAATTTTATGTGGATACTCGTCAGGTTCTGGTTCAGAAAATTCTTTTCTCATAGTCCACATATACTCATTGTAATCCTGTTTAACTGCTGTCGAGGAAGAAGCAACAACTCGATACCCTAGGACCTTAAAAGATTATTGCATTTTTTTTTTAAAATTATTTCGTTTGGAAAAATCATACAACTTTATCTTATGCTTACTTCTAATGCAGACAATATTATGCAAGGATGAGCTAAAAATACTATAGTCTGTTCGTCAGAGTATCCTCCGCAAGCAAAACGACTAGAAAATTGTTCTATGTCGACAGCTACACAGCAAATAGCGTACATTAGCAAATTTTACATCTCACAAATTGGAATTTTTTATTCATTTTTTTTATGAATGAATTTGATTTTGAATTAATTCAACATCAATTAACTAATTGAGTGAGTGTTACATTCAAAATGGAGAATTTTAAATAAGTTATGTTGTAGCATAACTATGATTTAAGGATAGAAATCTTCTATGCTACTTACGTTTCAAGCCGCTTACCATCACTCGAAATTTTTCATTAGTTTTTTGGCTATAACTTGCTAAGTTTCCGCGTACAATTATGATTGGCATTTGACCAGTTTTAAATCTTAAAAAATTCAGAGAGGAACTCTACAAAATTGTCAGTTTAAAAGATAAATAATCCAACCTTTTGACAGGTAGTATAAAAGGTATAGCTCACAAATTTATATATTCACACCCTATATCCTTTCTCTTCAATTTTATTATTACCTCATTATCTAAGATATTTTAATTATTAGCGTATAATCCTAATTATGATTCAGAAAGTTGAGTACTGTCTCTCATAATGAGGATCACGAAATGAAAATAGACTGTTAAATAATAAATGTTTAGTCCGGGTGTGAATACAAAGGAAATTTTAATAATATTCACGATTTCATTATTTTACGATTGTTAATTGCATGAACATGCGACTTGAAACATTTAAGTACACTTAAATTAATTTTTGTTTTTTTTATTATAATGTATAGTTTCTAATTAATACTTAAGGTCATCGAATTACGTCAATTTCTCTGACAAATTACTTACTTAAAGGCAACTCAAATATAGTGTATGGAGAAAAACCTTGTCACTAATTTATTTTCTGAATAATTTGTCAAAAATCAATAATTTTCATAAATTAGTTTTGGGCGAATCTACAGATGAACTTTTTCTCTTAATTGGTTTGTACAATTGCTACTTATATTGTCTTAAATCGTGTATACATTCATTTGCTTACTTTTTCTATGTAGTATCTAAAACTCAAACTTGTTGTTACAAAATTTACAGAAGGTATCACATGGCTTGTGTTATAGAGTCAAGGAGGGAAAAAACGTGGTAATAAATGGGTATTTATATTATAGAAAAGATGTTGGGCTAACATATCTGTGGAATTCACACAATCAAACAAATCTCCAATATTATAGCAAATCCATGTAAAAACTCCCAAATGTCAAATAATTTTAAGCATCATAGATAAAAGTGTGTTCCTACAAGACCTTACTATAAAATTAAAAATTGCTTTCCAAATATTAATTTGAATTCAAAAAGTGTAAAAATGGGAGATAGTAAGATAACATATGTTCAATGTGATGGATTAGTAAGTTCTTTAATAAATATTTGATGCATATTGATTGAATTCCATCATTGATTGCTTCTTTTAAGCTAAGAAAAAATTAGCATGCGTGGAAGATGAAAGAAAAAATTTGAAATAAATGCTATAACCTGAATTGTTTACATATTTTTTATCGCTTGTTTTAGGCTGTTATGAAAATGGTAAAGCACTGCCATGAAGAATCGCAAGGAAACATGGAAATAGCGCAAGGAGCTCTTTTAGGCTTGGCCGAAGGAAATAGGCTGGAAATAACAAATTGTTTCCCATTCCCGAAATCCACAGACGAAAATGTCGATGAAGAGGAATATCAATTGGCTATGATGAGAAGATTACGACGCGTTAATGTTGATCACTTTCATGTTGGATGGTATCAATCTTCAGATGTTGGAAACTTCTTGTCTTTAACACTTTTGGAATCGCAATATCACTATCAAACGAGTATTGAAGAATCTGTTGTTGTCGTTTATGACACACAAAAATCGGCAGGAGGATTTTTGACATTGAAGGCTTATAGATTAACACCACAAGCCATTGCAATGTATAAAGATGGAGATTTTACACCTGATGCATTAAGACAACTCAAGATTGGATACGAAAAGCTGTTCGTTGAAATTCCTATTCAAATTAAAAATTCGCCACTTACAAATATCATGATGTTAGAATTACAAGAAATGGTTAAAGAAGAGGAAGGCTCACATTTTCTGGATTTGGGTACGGCTGGTGTCTTGGAAAATCATATTCGTGCTATGATGGATAGAGTCGATGAACTTTATCAAGAAGCGAGCAAATTTAATAAATATCAACAAACTGTCATGCGTCAGGAACAAGATAAACATCGCCAATTGAACAAATTAGCACAAGAGAATGCTTCAAGAATTGCTAAAGGTGAAACTACAGTAGCAGAAGAAGAAATTCTTAAGCAATTCCGTCCACTTCCTGTTCCCCCACGTCTTAATCCAATGATTATATCTGGACAAATCAATACCGTTTCACAACATATTAATCAATTCTGTTCACAATCGCTTGCCAAACTGTATCTTACTCAAGCATTACAGAGTGCAAAAGAATCGAAGGAAACTAAATGAACAAATTTATGGTAAACATTTCATCTTTTGTAATAATCCCTAATTATGCAGTAATAAACTCATGAAATTCCATAAAGGAAAAATATTTTGACTTTTCATGTCTTGATTTCTCTATTAAAATACTAGACTGTTTGGCTTTTTAGCGCATTTTTGAAACTTGTTTCGAAAAGGTAGCTTATTCAAGCACTTTGTTCGCTGGGCTGTGAAGAAAACCTTTTTAACCAGACATCGTAGAGAGCTCGCGTTTGTTTTATTATCTCAGTTACTATCGATTTATCGGCCCATTGAATGCTTAAAAGCCTTGAAACAGTGTATTTATGCTATAATTAATGAATTTTTGTTTTGTTTTCAGTGTAACCTGCCCAAATTTTATTTTACCTCTATAATTTCAAATTTTTTCCAGCCGTTGTAAAATTTGAATTTCAAAAAAATCGTTAAATCATAAACCTTTTCGCTATTTTTTAATCAGTTGCAAACTAGATCTCAACGTGAACAGACGTGTTTACAAATCGCTCAGCAAATTATTAAAAAATCTCAAAATAAACAAAACTTAGATTACCTGAGAACCCTTCTGTTTGCAAAAAGTTTCAAAATCTCAGTTTGATTCTCAAAACATCAAAATGGTAGAAGCACCAAAAACTACCAACAACGAAGAAAATCTTTCTCAAAATCAGCATGGACTTAATAGTTCTCAACAACAACATTCATCTTCAGTGAAAATTCTCAATATTGAGGAAATTTTCAGTGAAAATGTTTCAGCAGCCGACATTGAGATGACAAATCTCAAACCAAAAAAACAAACAACAATGAAGAAGTTTCTCAATGAAGCGAGTAAAGCAGAAAAACGCCCTCGAGAAGTGATAATTCCCAGCGCTCCTTTAAAAAGAGTAGCAAACGAAAGCAAACCAAAAAATGGGAACAAACCACTGTTCGTACTCCCACCAATGAAGAAAGCTTCGTCTTCTGGAAAACCGTATCTATTCGGTTCACCAGAACAGGAGAAAAAAAGATCGACAACTTCATCGTACTGGGGAGAAAACAGCAAAACATCAGAGCAACAAAAATCAAAACCACCTCCAATTGTCATCAGCACAGGTGAAGCTGGTGAAATCAAGAGGTTGACGAATGAAATAAACAATCAATCTGGAAGTTTCTTAATTGAGACCAAACAAGGAAAAAAACGGTAACAACGGAGAGTTGGGGTGACTACGAGAAATTCATCCAACTACTCAAAGACAAAAAGCATCACTTCCACACATACTTCAGCCAAGAACCACTGAAGAAGTACGTACTCTACTTCTCTCGTGTACTTCAAAAAAGATGTAGGACAAGGTGGAAACTTCCTAAAATTTCTCAGAAAAATCAAAATTGTCAGCAGTTTTAAAATTAAATGGGCTGACTACAAAAATAGACAAGCTGGACCATCTCAATGTTCGAAATGTCTGCAGTTTGGTCATGGACAAAACTGTTGTAACAAACCGTCCGTTTGCTTCAGATGCTCTGAGCAACATGACTCGAAAACGTGCCAGTACATATCGAAAGAGACCAACAAGGTTCCACTCGGAAAACTCAAATGTGGTGAAACTTCTGCGGTGAAAAACATACAGCAATTTTCACAGGTTGTAAAACCAGACAAGAAATAATAGAAAAGTGGATATCAAAATCACAGAATGGAAGCAACTGAAATCAAAACAAAACAGCAGGCTATTATTCATATGGACAACTTGGACAACGGAGAAACAATCCTCCAATACCGCATCTTCCTGAGCGATCAACCAGAAACGTCCAACATGCACCAAAACCTCAATGGAGAAAAAAGAATGTGGAACCATCAACATCTAGTACACAAAAGCCTGCTCATCAAATCAAGCTCTAGTCAACCACAAACCAAGGAACATAAATCCTCCTCCAAATCACAAACCCTCAATTCAGGGAAATAAAAATAACTTGAACAACCAACAAAACAATAAAGAAAGGGGCATTAATAACAATCAACATCAAAAAACAAAACAAGATGTTGAGCTTATGGACTCAGAAGACATCAGTTCAACAAGTCAGACCTCGAATGAAGTCTCTCCTGAACCTTCATTCAGTGTTGAGGTAGTGAATCGAAACATAGCAACTAATCAACAAGCTCAAAGCACCAGCACAAGAGATAAAAACATCTCAGAAATAGAGGAATCAAAGTGCAAGTACCTTATCAGCGAGCTTCTCAAATTAATCGCCAAAAAAATCCAGAGTTCATCGACGAAATACTCCAAGCAATCGGCTCAAACGCAAAAAACACCGCATACAATAATGGATTGTAGACAACAAAGTATCCTCGACTACCTAAGCAAACAAAACGTCGATGTTGCTTGCATCTCAGAAACATTCCTAAAACCATTCGATTGAATCGCGTGGATAGACAAAAAGGTGGTGTTGCAATCATCGTCAAAAGAAATCTAAAACATCAGCTTCAACCAAGCTACAACACAAAACTAATGGAATGCATTGGAATCAAAGTCTTCATCAATGACACGGTTAGTTGTCACATCCTCTCAGTTTATTTCCCAGGAGGAAGCAAAGGAGGGGAAATAGATCAACATCTGAGAGATGACATCAACAAAATAACAAATCTGAGAGGAAATTACTACATCTGTGGAGACTTCAATGCAAAACACCGAGAATGGAACTGCAATGTTGCAAATAAATCAGGAAATTTCAGGAGTTCATGATCTACTTTCCTGACTCGCCAATGTACTACCCAGAAGATCAAAACAAATCAGTGTCAACAATTGACCTGATGCTCTCGAATTTCAACCTCGAAACAACAGAACTTCAATGTACAGAGGCAATGAGTGATCACTGCGCTGTGTATTTCCAAATCAAAACATCAAAAATCGATAGAACTGAAAATATAGTCTACAGATGAGTAATTCATATTGAAAATGTCGTAAAAACATTTTTATGCAGTTTCAAGCTTGTCGATTAAATATATTTTCAATAACTCAAAATTTTGCCGACATATTGTACATCATTGGAAAGGTATTTATTTGATCTTTAAAAATATGTTAATTAAATTAATTTTAAACCGGTTTTATCGGTTAATTTACCGGTTCAAACTTAGTGAGAAAATTAAAAAAAGTAAATTGGAATAACTTTTACAGTTTTCAACCATTTTCAATGATTCTTTTTTTGGCTGAAAGCCTATATATTTGCAGTTAGCTTTAACATTAATTAAATTTTTTCCAATGTATGGAACATCATTTTTTGCGGCCCCCAAGTTTTTGACTAAAGTAGCTCTTATTTGAAAACGATAATAGATATTGATTTCAAATTTTTTGCATGTTACTTGTATTTTTATTCCCTTTGTAACAACATACAATAATATGGGGTTCATTCATAAATTTTGACCAAAATTTACTAAAACAGCTCTCATTTGAAAACGATAATAGATATTGATTTCAAACTTTTTGCATGTTACTTGTATTTTTATTCCCTTTGTAACAACATACAATAATATGGGGTTCATTCATAAATTTTGACCAAAATTTACTAAAACAGCTCTCATTTGAAAACGATAATAGATATTGATTTCAAACTTTTTGCATATTAATTGTTTTTTTATTACCTTTCCAACGACATACAATAACATGGGGTTCATCCATAAATTTTGACCAAAATTTACTAAAACAGCTCTCATTTGAAAACGATAATAGATATTGATTTCAAACTTTTTGCATGTTACTTGTATTTTTATTCCCTTTGTAACAACATACAATAATATGGGGTTCATCCATAAATTTTGACCAAAATTTACTAAAACAGCTCTCATTTGAAAACGATAATAGATATTGATTTCAAACTTTTTGCATATTAATTGTTTTTTTATTACCTTTCCAACGACATACAATAACATGGGGTTCATCCATAAATTTTGACCAAAATTTACTCAAACAAAATTTTCATACGAATTTTTCAAATTTTTATATTCAGTCACCGTTTTCACGTGTGAATCTATTGGTTTTGTTCAGATTGAAAAATCAGTTTTTTGAATTTTGTGAGGATATGGAGCAAAATAGCTTAAAATGTTCAGAGATGAAAAGTTTGTGCCTGGAATTTCACATCTTTTGCAAAAAACAGATTTCAAATTGGTTTCGGCATTGCTGAGAAAATCGCAAAATACGCTTTCTGTAAGCAAACAAACAAGCAAGCAAGCAAGCAAGTTAATCAGCAAGAAATCTCAATAACGAGACATCGTAGAGACTTCTAGTTTTTTACATTTGATCCGTGCTGCTCTATAGAAGAGCTGTATTGTTTTTGGGCAAGGTAGGAACAGCCGTTGCTTCAGAAAAAGCAAAAAACTTTCCTTTCTTACGAATTTTTCAAAACAAAAGTTCACTGTGTATTTTTTAAATTAAACTTTGGATGAAAAAAAAATTTTAAAAATCTTTCAAAGAATGTTCGTTAAGCTTTAAACCTTCAAACTTTTGCTGAGCGAAGCTCAGCTGCTTCGCTAGCATTATACCTTTAAACTTATGCTAAGCAAATCTTGGTCTATCCATAAGACTTTTGATGGTACGGTGTGAATATATCCGCATTGGGTTTCTACCCGATACACTAGTTTCTTTGATTTTTAATAGAAAAACAGGAATAATAAAACGAAAAACTTTTTAATACTTAAATTTTGAGATTTATTATTAAAAAGATAGTAAAAATAAGAAAGTTTAAAAAATTATTCTTCATCATTGTCTAAAGACCCCAAATTTTCATAAAAGTTGTAATATTCAAGCGGTATATAAGGAAGTAGATCAAGAAGATCTTTCTTTTTTGCAGCTGTGATACGACGTTCGTTAGGATATTATATAAATTAAATTTAAATTTAAATAAATTTAATTTGTATATTATTATAAAATTAAATAAATCTCAAAATTTAAGTATTAAAAAGTTTTTCGTTTTATTATTCCTGTATTTCTATTAAAAATCAAAGAAAAAATTTGAAAAATTCGTATGAAAATTTTGTTTTAGTAAATTTTGGTCAAAATTTATGGATGAACCCCATGTTATTGTATGTCGTTGGAAAGGTAATAAAAAAACAA